GTTCACGATGTTGTTGTGACTCTTTATTGATAATGTTTACCCTGATTATTTGGCTACGATGGCTTTTCTCCTCTGTAAAGTTAATATGTTTTTACTAGTGACAAATATTTGAGGCTGTGCTAATCCTGTTACTCCTCGAACTTTGCTTTTTCCTGTACCCTTCATTGCTTTTCCTGTGTCCTCACTGGCTGCTCCTCCTCAGGTTAGTTTGGTTCTTCCCTTTTTCCCTCTAAAATATCTGTCATCTTGGTCCTTGGGTAATTGGACCTTTTCTCTTGGGTTTAATTCTACTTTGTTGATTACTTCTAGGTCCTTATTTATTCCAGATCTTGGTCTCGATCTTCCTGCCTACTGTCTATATCTCTGTGCCGATTATCCCATGGGGTCCTTAAATTAAGGATCTTAAACTGAATTTGTAATCTTGTTTCTGCTTTTTCATTCAGTCCCCTAATTCCGAAACCAGCCCCCTTTGACTCCTCCCCATTTTCACTTGAACTTTCTAACTGGCCTCCCCGCCACAAACCCGTCTTCCCCACCGGGGCCTGCGGGAGTCCCGCTGGTGTCATCCGACCGCCTGGGACGCCTGTGTGGTTTCCCGTGAGGTCCAGGTCTGCGGCGCTACCGGGCCTGTTGTGATGGTGCTCCTGCAGCCTCCCCCTCCGCCCTTCCCCTGGTCCGCAGGTGGGACCCGCAACCCTGTCAAAGCCAGCGTCCTGTGCAGTGTCCGTAGCCTTGCTGACGGGCTGTTTCTTCCCCCAGAGCAACTTTCTGCACGTTTTCCTGGCCATCCTTCAAGCTTGAACTCCCGTGTGGCTTTCTTGGAGGGAGACTCAGGCCCCGACCATCGGGCAGGCAGACTCCTTCCTCCCTCCGTGACAGCGCCTCTCACACACCATCTAGGGAGTGCCCCACGCCTTCTCCTTGAGGAGGGGGGACCTCGTTCTCTCACCACAGCACCTAGCGTACTGGTAAACGTTTGTCGAATGAATGGTTTTTATTATTAAAATTATTACAGCCATAAAGATAGTAAAATTTAACTGGCTGCTTATATATTGAGATAATGTTAAGGAATTAAGATTTTTCTTTATTTGGAGAACACTAGCTTTATTTATTCTATTTTTTTATATGACCTCCTTCCAATTTTAGGTTCATCCTCTGTTTTCAGTTCCTGTGTTCTCCAGTCTTTTCTCCATTTGATTTGTAACCAGCCCTAAAGGACAGTGAAACTGCCTAGAATTGGGATCTGAAGTTTTGGCAGGAAGCCCTTCCGAGCTGGCGATCTGCGTAGTGTCTTTGCCAGCTGGAGCCTGGAACAAAGAAACCAAACAGGCTCTTGGTAGATTCTGAAATGCAGCTTTTTGCTTCTTCAGAAATTGGGATTCTAGTCAGTTGATGCCGACCGAGAAGTGTACGGAGGACTCCGAATCCAGTAGCCACGAGTTGCTGCTGAAGTGCGTCATTAACTGTTGAATTGGCCGTCTGTTTGGACTACAATTGGAATTATAGTCTAATAGCATTTTGGAGCCAGAAAGAACTTTTCACTTGAGAAAATTTCATCCAATTCCCTTACTTTAGAGGTGAGGACAACTAAGATCACCCATCTAAGTAACGGCAGATTTGGGCTCTGATCTTGCTGTTTCTGGTCTAGTTCATTTTCTGTTTTAACAGCATTTTTCAAAGTTACTGAAGAGTGAGTGCTGGAATCATGCTGTAAGAATAAGATTTTTCCTTGGTCTCCCACAAAGCTAAAAGTTTTAGGAATAAGACTTTTCCTTGGTCTCCCAGAAAGCTAAAAGTTAAAGGAATAAAAGTATAGATTTCTAGAAGGTTTTTGTCCAAGTTACACAAGTATACATTCTACCTTTTTTTTTCTTTAATAAGAAAAATGACAAGTTTACAATCAGGGTGTTGAGTTTTAAAAATCATTTATTTGAATAGATAAACTTGATAAAACACCAGAAAAGGGTTTATAGTAAAAAAAAAAAGATTTACACTGCCCCTCCCCCATTCCCGTTTCTGCACCCCACGGTCCCCTTGTTGTTCAGCTCTTCCGAAGGAAACCACGTTCTCCTTCCATCTGTATGTAGTGCTCATGATAACAGTCCTGAGAAATTCACTAGTACACGTTTTCTCTCCGTTTCAGCTTTCAGTTTCTGAGTGATTTACTGTGAGAAGCCCTTTCTTCTCTACCCCTCCACAGTTTATGACGGTTATTTTTTAATATAGTAGAGTGGAAAGAATTTTACAGTGGATAACCTTGAGTCCTGACAACTGAGATTTTCTTATTATATTTTATTGTATTTCCATATCACAGACCGATGTGTTCATCCATCCGTTCATCCCTCAGTGCATTCAGGGCTCTTCTGAGGTCTGGGGGGTTTTCAAACAGCCGTGGGTCGAACTTTGCTGCTTTTGCCACTGAAAGAAACCAAAAGCTGGAGAATGAAGAGAATTGACAGGATTCATTGTTTAACCTAAGAGTATGTGTTTTCGCGTGTGTGCGCATGTGCGTGTGTAAGCGATCAGTATTGGCCATGCTTAATACTCCTTTATGTGCTGGATTGAATTGGTTTAGTGTGCTGGTCAAAAGCCTACCTGCCTCCCCTCTCTGATGTTTCACTCTCTAATGCCTTCTTTAAGTCTCCCACCTGGTAAACAAGCTAATACGGCTATGTTTGGCTTTGACAGAGAAGTGAGGATTACGTTACCCTTTTTGGGGAGGCCATTGAGTTAGTTGAGATGTACACTTTTCTAGTCCTTCCAAAGAAGAAACATTGTGACTGGAATGCTGAGAAGAATTGTTTTAGTATTCTTATGTTTCCTCTTATTTTATACAAACAAAAGAATTTCAATTTCTCTCATGGTGCTCCTTCCTCTTAAAATTTGTAGACTAAGACCATAACATATGAGTCCCTTAGTAACAGTAGGTTAAGTACCTTTTATAAATAACGGTAAACTTATAATCTTAAATATTTGGTTTTCCTAAAAGCTAAGCTAAAAACATAAATTTAAAGTTTCAAATGGAATTTGACAAATGTGGTTTAAAATACTTTGGCCCTGTATTCTGGTTGGGAATGGCGAAAGGAAAGCCAGAAGGTAAAATACCTAGTGGAAAAAATGTCACCCATATTCCCTTCACTTGAATGTGATCAGTGTCAACATTTTGTCCTTTCAGCCTTTCGTACTCAGTTTTCAACAAAATGACGCTAACAACGTACAAGCTGTTAGATAGAATTAACATTCAGTGAATTTCCCCATTTGATTAATATTCTCTTACAAAATGGAAAACTGTCAGTAAAACCACATGGAGGATGATAAACCCTTTCATACCAGGGAAGAGGCTGTCCGGACATTTGCCTGTGAGCGGGTCCCTCTCAGTTTGCACTGATAGGAAAGGGATTTGGAGGAGACGAGCTCGGGCTATGGAAGCAGTTCTCATTTTTAACATGTCAGCAAAGACTGGACACGGGCAGTTACTGCTGATATTTTGGTCATGTGTATTTTTTAGTAGAACTCTTAATGCTTATCCGCAGGATTACTTACATCATCATTGCTTCCCATCGATGGAGGAATTTTCTTTTAATACATTAAACCCTGGTCGATTTGGGTTCAAACAAAACAAAACAAAACAGCTCTGTTTCCAGCAGAGGTCTCATTAAAGGGAGGTTTTGCTGCACTTGATTGGGAGGTTGAAACAAAACGCTGGTAAGGTTGGCAGTTCTTATCTGTGAGAGTGAACAGAGAGATCCTTTCTCTGCCTCTCTTATTCATCTGGCAGGAAAGTTAATCTAGTTGCTTTGAATTTAGGGAAGCAGGCCTTCTTCATAGGGATTCATTTTCTAAAGTAGCATTAATCTTCGATTAAAGTTGCTGTGGGAAAGGAGAAATGGGCCCCTGGCACCTTGGTGGGCATGTTCTCGGGATGCTAATGACAGGGTGCGATGGAAGACAGCTCTCCCTTGTGGAGCGGGCAGCTGCAGCAGTGGGTACGGGTGCTGTCCTGAGGGTGCCCTGCGCAGCACTGTCCCCTCCCCCTGCCTTTTGTCACCTCTGCCAAGGCCTTCAGGAAAACTGTTTATCAGTGCATTGTATTTAGGAACCCCAAGTCCATAAAGGGGCAACAGTGAAAGACTGAGTTACTTTAAGCCTCCAAGAGCAATTTACACAGTTTATAAGAAATTTATTTTGAATTCTTGAGTGCTCATCCCTTGAGTAGTAATTTACTTCCCTCTCCAGTAAGAGCTTCTTGGCAGTAGATGAACCTGAACTCTGCGCAGTGGTTTGCGTAGCGCTTGCATCGCTCTTATTATGTGGTGATTCTTGGGGAGCTTTTTCGGAGGTGTTTTATTTGTTTTTCTTTTTTTGTTTCATTTCATGTTTGAGGGCATGTGTGCAATAGTATACTAGAGAAGCTATTTTTTCCCCTTGGGAAAAAAAGCTTGAGAAGACAATTCTGTAATGTAGCCTTAACTAGGTGGGACGGTAGTGTTTAACTGGGACGTTAAAGCAGGCATTGACCAGCCCCATCAGATGGTTCCATGTTGTTTCCTGTAACATGGATATTTATAATTACTGAGGTCAGAGGTATTTGACTTTTCCTTTTTTTTTGCACAGTGTAATAAGGAATGCTTTAAAACATTTTATGTATCAGTAGATACATTAAGATAATACTATTCCAACTTCTGTTCTTTTCTATCTCATGCTAAGTATAAAGTTGCAGAATTAGCTGGAATACTGATTTTAGCTGGCAAGAAATGAACAGAGTGGCATCTGTCCAAATTAAGTTAAAAACAAAGGAAGTTGCTGTGTGTAGTTTCCTGTCTCTTACAACAAAAGCAAACAAACCCCCCCCCCTCCATAATTATTAAGCTCTTTTCAGAGTATATAATATTAATAGTATGGATTTTAATGTGCTCAGTTGTTCACTAGATATTCTCACTTACTTTATTAAAGATGTTTTCTTAAAAGATAAATGACTTGTTTTTCTTTTGCTTTATCAGAGCACAGCAATGGAGGAAACAGCTATATGGGAACAACACACGGTGACGCTTCACAGGGTGAGTTTCTGCTGCAGTAAATAATCTGTGTATAACTCAGGATATTGGCAGCTTTTGAAAACAATAGAGGAAAGCCAGATGTCAGGAAGCCCAAAGAAAGGGGAAAAACTTTTCTATATTCCTTTGTTTAAAATTAGAATTGCAATAAATTCTTTATTAAGGTCAAAAGCGAACATGATTACTTTTTCAAATATCCTTTTGGTGGTTATTTGTATATTTGCTGTTTTCATTCCTGTGCAAAGCAATTTATGTTATTTTAAACATTTTGAGTGATCAGATAAAAAGACACTGTACATTGTATAAATAAATTGTACACTGCTTCAACCTTTCTGAGTATATGTGCATGCATTGTAGGCTTGGGGTTTAAAATAAACCAGGTCGTGTGGATAATAAAGTCTTAAGAGATACTTGTTGATTTGAAACATGTAGACCCTGAGCTATTGCGTAAGCAGTTGCCGATGGGCACAGAGCAAATAGCAGCAGGCTGGGGAAGAGGAAGAGTTTTGTCTGCCCTGCACTTGAGTCCTGGCCTGCCTCTTCCTGGTTAGAAACGGGCAAGCGATCCAGCCCCCTTCCAAAGCCTCGGCTTCCGCGGGTTTAAATTGGGTTAATGGCATCTGCTGATGCCTGACATACGGTCAGGCCCTCCCGTGACTGCCCCCGTTCCCCCTCTGCAGCAGGCTGACTCAGTTGCCCTTCCCCTTGGAGAATGACTGGAAGGAGACGAGGGCCTTTTCCGCGCCTGGCATGCCCTGTTTCTACCAGCCGTGCCTGTTGCCGGGGAGGTGGGGGACCGTGCCCCGGCCCTGCCCTGATTCCCGGGTGCATGTTGGAGTCTGCGCATGGTAGAGAGGGGGTACATTGGCTATTAAAAAGAGATGTAGTGGATGTTTTTAATGCCTCCCTAAATGATCGAAGAAATCTTTAAATAATACCTTAACTGTTAACCTAAAAAGCTAAAATATGTGGCCTCTGTTTGAAATGTACTGATAGGTAACATAGTCCAATCAGATTAAATATATAAAATAACTTTATACCTTGTAATTGTTTAAATAGTTGGTTGTGATGTAATAATTTGGTATTTTATCACATTACATTTATATTCTGAATACCTTTATTCTTATTGGTGTGATTTACATACAGTAAAATTCATGCTTAGTGTACAGTTTTGAGTTTGATAAACACACGGAGTCCTGTAACCACTGTGGGAACCAACATGTGGAACAGCTCCATTGCCCTGACACTTACCTGTGCCCGTCTGTAGTCAGCTCTGCCCCCGCCCCCCCAGCACTCAGCAGCCACTGATGCATTTTCTGTGCTTACACAGAAACGTTAAGCCTTTTCCAGAATGTCCTATCAGTGAGATCATCCTATATACACGTAGCCTTTTGAGACTGGTTTCTTACACTCAGCCTAACGCCCTCGAGATTTCGCCATGAGGTTGCTTATATCAATAGTTCTTTGTTTTGTTTTTTTGTTAGTTTCCTCATATTGCTGAGCAGTATTCCTTTGTATGAATGCTTATTCATTCTCCAGTTTTGATGCATTTGGCTTGTTTCCAGTTTTTGGTGATTATGAATAAATCTGCTCTAGTGTACAGGTTTTCTTATAAGCGTAACTTTTCATTTCTCTTGGGTAAATAATTAGGAATGGAATTGCTATGTGTCTTATGGTAAATGCATGTTTAACTTAGAAGAAACTGCCAAACTGAGCCATTTGGCATCCTCACTAGCAGTGTGCGAAAGTTCCGGGTGCTCAGTATCCTCACCAACACTTGATATTATCAGGATTGGGTTGTGTTTTTTTTTTTTCCTTAATTTTAGACACACAAATAGGTGTGTAGTGTTAATGTCATTGTTTTGGTTCCCAATTTTCTAAAGACTACTGATGTTGAGTATCTCCTTATGTGCTTGTCATCCATATATCTTCTTTGGTAAAATATGTTCAAATCTCTACCCATTTTCAATTGGGTTGTTTGTTTTCTTATTGTTGAGTATTTTCTTATAATTGTTGTAAAATACACTTAACATAAAATTTACCATCTGTTGAAGTCCTTTGCCTGTCTTTAATTGGGTTATTTATTTTTTTAATTGTTGAGTTGTAGGAATTTTTTATATATTCTGGATATTAACCCCTTATGGGATATATGACTTGGAAATATTTTTTCATATTCTATGGATTGTCTTTTCATTCTGTTGATTGTGTCCCTTGGTGCACAGAAGTTACTGAGTTTTGAGAGCTCCTTCTATATTCAGGGTACAGGTTTAATTTCTTTCTGCCTTTGTCAGAAATCAGTGACAATTTATGTGTGGCCTTTCCCTGGTCTTTTCCACTGATCTTCGTGTCTTTCTGCCAGTTACTTTTGTCTTGATTAGTACAAGTGTAGAAATCAAGTAGTGTGAATCCTCCAAATTTATTCTTTTTGTAAAAAATGATTGTTTTGGCTATTCCAGTTTCTTTGCCTTTTAGTATAGATTTTAGATTATTGTTAAAAACTGCTGGGATTTTCATTGAGATAGCATTAGGTCTACAGATCAATTTGGGGAGAATTAGCAACTTAACAATATAGTCTTTAAAACTATGAATGTGAGGTAACTTTCCATTCTTTTTCTTTTTCCCATTATCATTTTGTCATTGTTGGCGTACAGATCCTGCACACATTCTGTGAGATTTCTCGTTAAGTATATTTCATGTTTCCTGGTGCTATTCTAAATGGCTTTTTTTTTTTTTAATTTCAGTTTTCAAGTGTTCACTAGTATGTAGAAATAAAATTTATTTTTTAAAATAATGAATTTGCAAGTAGTTCTAGGAACTTATTTTGTAGGGCTTTTGGGATTTTTCCGATATATATTGTCATGTCATCTGTGAATAGAAGCTTTTTATTTCTTCCTTTCTGATTTGTGTGGGGGTTTTTTTCCCTTCCCTTTTTCTTGCCTCTGCACTAGGTAGGACTTCCAGGATGTTGAATAGGAATGTCGAGCAGACATCCTTGCCTCATTCCTAATTTTAGATGAAAGCACTTTGTCTTCTGCTTACCAGTATGATACTTATTAGTGTGGTATTAGCTGTAAAGTTTTTGTAATGCCCTTAATCAGGTTAAGGAATTTCCCTGGTGTTTCTATTTAGCCATTTACTAGGTCAAGGAAGTGCCCTTTTATATTTACTTTGTGGAGAGGAATTTTTTTTTTTTTTTTTTTTGCAGAGGGCAAGTATTGATTGAGGTTATAATAAGTTTTCTTCTTAGTGTATTAGTATGGTCAATTTCTGGCATTTTGAGTATTGAGCAGCCTTGCATTCCCAAGATAAATTCTTCTTGGTTGTGACGTATCATCTATTTTTATATATCGTTGGATTGATTTGCTAATGTGTTTTGAAGATACTTGTTTCTGTACTCATAAAAAGTGCTGGTCAGAACTTTTTTCATGCATCGTTTTTATCTGGTTTAGGTGTCAGGGCAAGCTACAACCTTAAAATAAGTGAGCAGTCAGGAAGCTTTCCTTCCTCTCGTGTTCTCCAGGACAGCTCGGGTGCTGTTGATGTTACTTCTTCCGTAAACGTTTGGTAGGGCTCATCCGTGTAGCTAGCCATCTGGTCCTGGAGTCTTCATTGTGGGAAGGCTTTTTACTATAAATTCAATTTCTTTAATGTTAAATGGAAGTATTCAGTTAATGTGTTTCTTTGTTAGCTTTTTTTGGGTAGCTTTGATAATTTGTATCTTTCAGAGTGTTCCTTTCATTTACTTTATGAACATAAAATTGTTAACAGTGTTCCGTTTTTTTAATTGCTATAGGATCTGTAATGAGGGTGTTTTGTTTTTTTTTAAACTTGTGCTTTTATTTCTTGGTTTGTTTGGCTAGCGGTTTAACAGTTTTGATTGATCTTTTCAAAGTACCAGCTTTTGTTTTCATTAGTATTTTTTTGTTTTGTGATTAGTATTTTTTGTTTTGTGTTGTTTAATTGATTTTTGCTCTTATTGTAATGTTTCCTTCTGCTTACATTGGGTTTAAATTGTTCTTTTTTGTAATTTCTTAAGGTAGAAGCCAGATCATTCTTTGGAGATCATAGGTGTTACTTGGTATTACCACATTACATTTGTTTTTTTCCTAGTACCTTTTAGTTTTTAAGTAAGTAAAATAAAGTGAGACACATTAAGTACACTGTTTATCCTTTCTACTGTTTTGCCTCATTTTGTTAGGCATTCAGGTTTGGGGAAATAGTGTATTTACTATAGATCATTAGCTTAAGTAACTTAGGAAAATATCTTGGAGGCTGAAAAAAAACAGAATCTAATCTCCTGAGTGTGTTAAGTGTCATACCTCATAGTAGGTATAATGGTAAAGTCTGAGCGCTCCTGTCTAGAAGGTCAGTGTAGGTTTATTCTGCAGCTGGCCTCTTCCGGAGCTTCATTTTCCTTTGGCCATGAGAAGGGTACCAGCCCAGGAAATGTCAGAAGATACATGAGATAAGAGGAATATACTGTTCATAACTCCCTGATTTTTAAGCATGTTAACTGTTGTGCTAGGAACACAGAGCTGTGTTGCCTCTGGGCCTTGTCAAAGCGAGTCTGTGACAGAAGGAAAGTCCTCAGTGAGCATCCCTCTAGGAATTTTTGGAAGGTTTTTGAGAATAGCACAGTCAGTGCAAGCTGAGAGACTTTTTTCAAACCATAATTCATTTGACTTCATTCCCTGATGCTGCAGAACAGTCCTTTGGTGTTCTGAGTTGATCCAGCATAAAATTTAGCTCAGCTAGAACGTTGTCAGCAACCTTGTGTGGTCAAGAGTCTGATGATAATACTTCAGACCTTGCAGGCGAAGTCTCCCACTGCTACACAACTCTGCAGTTGTATTGCAAAAGCAGCCATGGACAATAGACAAACAAATGGTGTGGCTGTGTTCCAATAAAACTTTATTTACAAAAGTGGGCAGCCAGCCTGATTTCGCCTGTAGGCCGTGGCTTCTGATCACTGATGCAGAGCAGCAACTCTTCAGTTTTCTTGT